TCTCTCACACACACACTCACACACACACACACACACACACACTCTCTCACACACACACTCTCTCTCTCACACACTCTCACACAGCTTCTCTAGCATAATCGCTGGTGTGGCGGCACGCTCAGATTTGGCTAGTTTTCATCACTGACCCACACACAGCTGTGGACCTCAGGTGAGCCGTCCGTGAGGTCATGCGTGTCACATGATCAGATACCGTCAGTGAGACACTGAACACACTTACCTCTCGCTGGTGAGAACAGGACGAGGAGAGTGTTAGCAGAAGTCAACATTAAGTCACACCTGTGCAGGTTTTCTGAACAGTTATGGACAGTCGTGTGGACATCATAAGATGAAGTTCAGTATAACTGGGAGAGAGCTCACACTCGTCTCGTTAAACAGGACACGTTCAGCATTTGTTTTAACTTTCTTCCAAAAGCACCTAGCAACAAATGTAGCTATTTTTAAATTTGATTTGGCTACTTTTAGCAACTTTTGATAAGTGACTCAGACTATAAAAAGGCACACATTTTCCATCTAAATTACACAAAAAGAGGAAACCACAGATGCCTAGCACTACACACATCACATGAATTAATTTAGCTGCTGTTTGCAGTTGTTCAATTTAATAATAATTAAATAATTGTTCATTTATGATACACCTTGTTGTACCTGTGATTGTTGATCAGTTAGTACACTGTAAGAAAAATATCTAGGAAAATGGAAAAGGTAGGCTTCTAGTAATTTTCCAGGACATTATCCATTATAACACTTTAACCCGAAACACAAAATACAATGTAAACAAACTCGTAATCGTTCAAACATGTGTAAGTGTTCAATAATTCAATGTTGTATATAAAAAGTTATTTATATTTTAACATTATATTATGCATTTATATTAGTTTACGAACAAATCTAAATGAACATATACAAATATATATTTTACTGAGATTTGACGTAGGGACACAATTTTGCGTCGTGATGACGTCATCACGCAATGACATCACAACGTCTTTTAGCAACAAATCGACCGTCCTTTAGCAGCTTCCCCTGAAAACTGAGCTGGCAACAGTAAATAGTGTTACTTAATGCCTTATAGTCGTATTTAGCAGAGCAGAGTTTATTTGAAGTATTCATGTCATAACACTATTATATAGCACACAGAACAAAGGCTCCTCTCAGCTGCTGAGCCTCAACACTTCTGCCCTCACTTCACAGCCCTTCTGCGCTTTAGCGTCTTGCGTCACCGAGTGCGACTGCGTCACTTCCGCTGTTTAAATCTCCCGCGGAACGGCGCGCGTCATACAGCAAACACTGTCATGCACGAGCGAGATAAACTAGTGTAACTTTTCTTATAAATGAAAATAACAGAAAGCATTATTTTTCATGCTAAAGAGAGACGAGAGCAGTGCTGGGTGTAACCAGTTACTGTAATTTAATTACTTTTCCCTTGAAAAAGTGTTTAGAAAGTAATTAGTAATAAGTAATTAAATACTTTTTGGAGAGAGTAATTTGTACAGTAATCTAATTACACTGTTGAATATGTAATTAGTAACTAGTAATGAATTACTTTAATTTACCAAACACTGATGCTAATTATTTTCCTCATTTACAAACGAACAGTCGTGATGTTTAAATTACAAAAAAAGGTTAACTATTGTCATTTATATTCAAATAAACTGATATGAATAGTTTAAAAAATACTTATATATACAAAATAGATTAAAACAAAACAAAAAAAAAAATTCCGTAAAACTCGTTTAAACTTTGACCCCTGCCACGCCTCGAAAGCATTATTTTTCATGCTAAAGAGAGACGAGAGCAGTGCTGGGTGTAACCAGTTACTGTAATTTAATTACTTTTCCCTTGAAAAAGTGTTTAGAAAGTAATTAGTAATAAGTAATTAAATACTTTTTGGAGAGAGTAATTTGTACAGTAATCTAATTACACTGTTGAATATGTAATTAGTAACTAGTAATGAATTACTTTAATTTACCAAACACTGATGCTAATTATTTTCCTCATTTACAAACGAACAGTCGTGATGTTTAAATTACAAAAAAAAGGTTAACTATTGTCATTTATATTCAAATAAACTGATACGAATAGTTTAAAAAATACTTATATATACAAAATAGATAAAAAAAATAAAAAAAACAATTCCGTAAAACTCGTTTAAACTTTGACCCCTGCCACGCCTCGCGAGATTTGAGCAGCAGCACGGCGCAGCATCGCACAGCTTGAGAACGAGAACACAAAGAAAGACAGAACAGCAGAAACCCAGTCGCTTCACAGATGTGAGTATGTGGCGGAATATTTAATCTCTGACATGACGAAATCTATCAATGGCTGTGTTTCCTCCGTCAGTTCTGGGCACTATACAGTATTTCTCTATTTATTTCGCTCCCTAGATCACATTTCTGCGGGGTTTAACAACTTAAATCTCCCTTCAGCAAATTAAGGCCTTCAATCAAAGCAGAAAGTCTTAAATTCGTAAAGTCGTCATGGTATTAAATGTTGCCAACATGTTTGTCTTGTTTTCTAATATAACGTTAGATATCTAAACATCCTTAAATCAAGATGCTTGAGATGCAAAATTAAAATATGAAGTCTAGTTTTCTGGAAAATTGACATTTGCACTGGGAACATGGCGTTACTGCAGTGAGATCAGAAGTGATTTCCATATTCTAGTTAAGGTGTGTGTGTGTGTGTGAGTGTGTGAGAGAGAGTGTGTGTGTGAGAGAGAGAGAGAGTGTGTGTGTCTCTGTGTGTGATCTGTGTGTGTGAGTGAGAGTGTGTGTGTGTGTGAGATTGTGAGTGTGTGTGTGTGTGTGTGTGTGTGAGAGAGAGTGTGTGTGTGTGTGTCTCTCAGTGTGTGATCTGTCTCTGTGTGTGTGTGTGTGTGTCTCTCAGTGTGTGATCTGTCTCTGTGTGTGTGCAGAGCTGCAGTGGTCAACATGATGTCTGGAGGTCCGGCGGTGCGCGTCAGCATCGAGTCTCAGTGTGAGCGTCAGGTGCAGGAGGTGTCTCTGGACGGTCTGGAGACGTACGTGCCTCCGCTCTCCATGTCTCAGAACCTGGCCAAGCTGGCGCAGCGGATCGACTTCGACCAGAGCTCGGACTCGGAGCAGGAGAGCCGGGAGCCGTGGAGCCAGCCGGAGCCTGAGGAGGACGAGGGTGTGTGGGGGGTGTTTTACTGCGGGGCTGCTGCCTGCTCGTGACTCAAGCACTGCTCTCTGCTGACAGGTGCGCTGAAGTTCCAGCCCTCGTTGTGGCCGTGGGACTCGGTGAGGAACAACCTGCGCAGCGCTCTCACCGAGATGTGTGTGCTGCACGACGTGCTCAGCGTGCTCAAGGACAAGAAGTACATGGCGCTCGACCCCGTGTCCCAGGACCCCAGCGTGACCAAGGTGCGGCGCTCTCCTCGCCACTAGGGTGTGCCATATTGACAAAAAATTACATCTTTTTCTATAACGATAATTAGACTATATGTGACCTGTGCTGGCAAAATGAGTCGCAAATTTTTACATTCTCTATTAAAAGACCTTCAAACTGATATTAGATATTAGAATAATAAGACATTTGGGCTGTTGCAAAACAAATGAAATCAGTATCTACTAAATTAATCTTTGCAGAAGTTGCATCTGAAGTGGCATTTAGATGTATTTACACACTGTTTAATGCAGCTCCGATGGACATAGAGTGTTTTAACCTGCGGTTGCAAATGCATAAATAATGTTTTGATATTTTAAACATAAAACATTGAATACTGATTAATTTAAAAATGAAAAATTGCTTTAAATGTGAAATTAAAACAAGCAAGTCACTGTTAATAAGTGAGTCATTGCGATTGAACCGAATCATTTAAATGGATTGATTCATTCACAACCACAGGAACAAAACACGTCTGTGTTTGGAATTATTTTTGTTGGTCAAATAGAGCAAAAACAGGCAATATAGTGTCTAAAATGTAAGTCTCTTAATATTAACTTATTGAAGAAAAAAAGGGTGCTCTTCGTGTGATATTAACTATATGAAATGATATAAATATATACATTTTCTGCCCCCATATCTTGAATTTTGTGATCATTCTAAATGCATTTTAACAGACTGAATCACGCAGTGAAAGAACACACACTGGTCTAACTCACTAGACTTCATCACGTAATGTATGCGTGCACTGCGTTGTTAGGCACGACGTGAAGCGGAGTTTTATTCACAGAATAAAACAGAGCAAATAAAGTGTAATGATAATAAAAACAGTATTCTTCCACCAAACAATGTAGCTCCTCAGAATCAGTTGTGGTTGCAACAAAGTGGTTGCCGAGCAACACACAAACGTAAACAAAGGTGTGTTACTTTGTAGAGTCATTTACAACAGCTTCGAATGCAGCTCAGCCAATCAGAATCAAGCACCGGAACTATCCACTTTAAATTTGAATATAATTTGAATATTGATAATATTTAAGTACAACGTTCGTATGTTCAGTTCGTACGTTCAGACCCCGCAGGTGTTCCAGCTGATCAGCAAGAAGAAGTCTCTGGCCACGGCGGCGCAGCTGCTGCTGAAAGGAGCCGAGAAACTCACCAAGTCTCTGGCGGAGAACCAGGAGCAGCGCAGACAGCGGGACTTCAACTCGGAGCTGCTGCGTCTGCGCTCTCAGTGGAAGCTGCGCAAGGTCGGGCACAAGATCCTGGGCGATCTGAGCTACCGCAGCGCCGGTAATGCAGCGCTCTCATCAGTGTGCTGACCTCTCTGATGTCTATGAAGTGTCTATGTTAACATGCGCTGTTGCTCTGCAGGGTCTCTGTTCCCCCATCACGGCACGTTTGAGGTCATCAAGAACACAGACATCGACCTGGATAAGAAAGTCCCTGACGATTACTGTCCGCTCAACGTGCAGATCCCCAGCGACCTGGAGGGGTCGGCGTATATTAAGGTAACATTCAGTTATCTATAACTCGCCTGTGAGCGCAGGCATCACGTGTTGTTTTCACCAGATGAACTGTGTGTGTGTGTGTTTCTCCAGGTGTCCATTCAGAAGCAGTCTGCTGATATCGGAGACCTCGGCACAGTCAGTCTCTTCAGAAGACAGCCCAAAGCCAAACCTGGTAAAGCCAGCTCGAGCGACTGATGAGAAACGCTGCTTTCAAACAATACTTGCCTTTGTAGATGACTGAAAATACAGGTATATGTGACCCTGGAGCACAAAACCAGTCGTAAGGGTCAGTTTCTTGAAATGTAGATGTATACATCATCTGAAAGCTGAATAAATAATCTTTCCATTGATGTATGGTTTGTTAGGATAGAACAATATTTGGCTGAGATACAATATTTGAAAATCTGGAATCTGAGGGTGCAAAAAAATCTAAATATTGAGAAAATCATCTTTAAAGTTGTCCAAATGAAGTTCTTAGCAATGCATATTACTAAACAAAAATTAAGTTTTGATATATTTACAGTAGGAAATTTACTAAATATCTTCATGGAACATGAACTTTACTTAATATCCTAATGATTTTTGGCATAAAAGAAAAATGTATAATTTTGACCCATACAATGTATTGTTGGCTATTGCTACAAATATACCCCAGCGACTTAACACTGCTTTTGTGCTCCAGGCTCACATATTATTAAATAGTATGCTTTGGAATAGATTTGACCCATATATAGAGTATTTATGACTGAATATCAAAAGGATTTTATTACTGCTTTCAAATAACTATTAAAGAGGAACATAGCACACACAGTTTCCCCCGATCTCATGTTAATCTTGAGTACCTATAGAGTAGTACTGCATCCTTCACATCTCCAGAGACTCTTTAGTTTTATCAGATTTATAAAAGAAATACAGCTTTATGATTCTCTCCAAAAACAGCGGAGCTCCTGGAGGCTGAAGAGCGACGAGCAACAAAACACAGCCGTTTCCAGAACATGACCGGGATCTATTGTGTATTATACACATATATTATAATAATAATAATAAACTTTATTTTATGTAGCGCCTTTAAAAGTAGCAACTCAAAGCACTTTACATGCATATGAAAATTATAAAGTTAAAACATACACACACAAAGTACAGGCAGTAAAGAACTAGCCAAACAATACAAAGACGATATAATAAAACAAAAGGGATTCTGCATTGCTAATCTCAGACGGCAGGGAGTTCCACAGTTCAGGAGCCAATGAAGAGAGAGCCCGATCACACAGATTTTAGCCGAGGTGTTTGAGCAGTTAAAAGACCAGCTTCAGAAGAGCTCTGGCAAATATTGAGGAGCCAAATTATTCAAGGCCTCATAAGTGAGCATGAGAGTTCTAGCAGCCGAGTTTTGCACCAACTCTCATTTACTTAGTCTAGCTTTTGAAACTCCAGCCAGCAAAGCATTTCAATAATCGATACGCAGAAAAACAAGTGTTGATTAACTACAGCTGGGACCGCTCCATCGTTCAGTGTCAAATGATGTGCAAATCCAGCGTCGAACTGGGCCTGGTTTATTAAACGCTCGTCAACAAACACACTTGTGAAACTCCGGAAAAACAAACTGCATCTCATCCTCATATCGTTCATATCTGTGGATGGATTTCTTTTCCAGTTTTTCAGAATGTCATCTTTATCATCTTTTGTGTGGAATGACATGATGGAGAGTAAATGATGACAAAATCTTCATTTTTGGGTGAACTATCCTTTTAAGTTCCCAGATATGTTAGCGCTTCAGTGATATAAAGCTCAGTAGGAGAATCAGTGTCATTCATTTCTGCAGGAGTAAGTGTGAATCAAAGCTGTTCAGCTTTCTACTCAAACACGTTTTGAATGGTGAAGTCGTTTGATGTCAAATGCGTGTTTTGTGGTCTGTTGCTCTTGAATGTAAATGGTGTTCTGCGTTCCTCTCAGCTTCTCAGATGTGGCATTTGAAGCTGGAAGCGGCTCAGAATGTGCTGCTGTGTAAGGAGATCTTTGCTCAGCTCTCACGTGAAGCTGTTCAGATCAAATCACAGATTCCTCACATCGTCGTCAAGAACCAGATCATCTCGCAACCCTTTCCTGGTATTTACACTCATTTAGCCACGAGCAGTGCACACACTTGTCATATGAACACTGTAGCTCTGTTCATTAAAGTCAAGTATTAATGCATTGTGTGAGTACTTAGTATTAACGGTAACACTTGACAATAGTTAAAGCTGGTTAATGCATTAACTTACAATGAGCAGTACATCTGTTACAGTGTTTGTTAATCTTTGATATTCAGTTTTAGTTCATGTTAGCTCAATTTAATAATGCATTAGTAAATGTTGAAATTAACAATAACTAAGATTAATAAATGCCTTAACATTAGTTGAACTAACAATGAAAAATATTTTTAAGAAATTAAAGTCTTATTATAAAGTGTTACTGTATTAATGCTCCATAAAGACAAAATGTATATTATAATCAGCGTTTGGGACATAACTAGTTACATGTAACGGAATTACGTAATTTAATTACAAAATAAATGTAACTAATTTGTTACAATTGCTGAGAAAAAATGTGTAATTAAATTACAGCTGCTTATTTTACTTGTTTTATGAGCTCAATTGTAACAATTGCTGTGTTAGGCTAACTGAGACTTGTTATAGCACTTGCATATCATTGCTGTTTTGTTGATTTTGATTGCTTCCATTGTCCACATTTTAGATAAATGCGTCTGCTAAATGACTAAATGTAAATGTACTTTAATAAAGTAATTGAAATAGTTACACTACTCATTACATTGTAAATAGGGTAACTTGATTTCCAAAGTAACCTTCCCAACACTGATTTATAATTACATATTTTAAGACCTATAGTTATAGAAACATGTTCTCATCACCTTTATTCATGATTTGTGACTCTAAAAGAACATCTGTTATTATTATTAGTGTAACTCTCTCTCGCTCTGTGTGTCTGTCTGTCTGTCTCTGTGTGTGTGTGTGTGTGTGTGTGTGTGTCTCTTGTCTGTCTGTCTGTGTGTGTGCGCGTGTGTTTCTGTGTGTCTCTGTGTGTCTGTGTGTGTGTGTGTGTGTGTGTCTGTGTGTCTCTGTGTCTGTGTGTGTCTCTTGTGTCTCTTGTGTCTGTGTGTCTGTGTGTCTCTGCGTGTGTCTCTGTGTGTCTGTGTCTGTGTGTCTCTGTGTGTCTGTGTCTCTGTGTGTGTCTCTGTCTGTGTCTCTGTGTGTCTCTGTGTCTCTGTGTGTGTCTGTCTGTGTGTGTCTCTGTCTCTGTCTGTGTCTCTGTCTGTGTCTCTGTGTGTCTCTCTGTGTGTGTCTGCGTCTGGCGGGACCCATGGCCTACGACAAAGCAGAGATCAGCTCGCTGCAGCAGAGCGAGGGACTCCTGGAGAAGATCATCAAACAGGCCAAACACATCTTCCTGAGGAGCAGGTGAGCATCTCACACAGAGGAGTTCAGAGAGTGATTGTACATCTCTGTGTTTGTCTGCTTGAGATCTCTCCACTTAGTAAAGATTATCTAGTAATCATATGTGAATACAGTGTAGTTATGGAAGGCTGCATCTGAGCTGTGAAACTGGGTAAAGAAATGAATGTTAGACAGGCTTGTTTCAGCATCTAAGCAAAGTACAAATAATGTAGGGCTGTGATTTTTTTCATGTATATGTATGATGTATGTATTATGTGTGTGTGTGTGTGTGTGTGTGTGTTATTTAATAATTTTCACTGATCAGTTTCCGTCAGGTGTGTATATTGCAGTATATTTGCCCAAAGGTCAGTAAAGTCTGTTTCTTTCAGGACGGCGCGGACCATCGACAGTCTGGCCAGTCGTATAGAGGACCCCCAGATCCAGGCTCACTGGTCCAACATCAACTCTGTGTATGAGTCCAGCGTCAAAGTGCTCATCACCTCGCAGGGATACGAGCAGATCTGCAAGTATGAGCTGATAACAGACACACATCAGCAGCAGTTACTGAGAGGACAGGCCTCACTCATGAAACAGCATCACACACTTCTGCAGACAACCACTCTGAATGTTTTATAATGGATTGAACGCGACACGGTTTATCATTTGTCATAAACATCCTTTATTGTTATAAAAATATCATGAGTCTATTTGCTTATTTCAAATATAGAAATTTTTTTCTAATTTTTTTCATACGTAACGACAGGAGATATGATCGCATGATTGACAGATCTTGAGTGAACGCGCTCTTTAAGAACATGTGAGAATAAATCTGTTCTCAGATAGCAAGAACTCAGCATCCACTCTCTCCTCTCTCGGAACACTCTTCTTCTGTGTTTGTTTACGCTGGTTTTGGAAACTGCGCCACCACTCTCACTCTTTTGTGTAACAGCAGCTGCTCCGGTTACGTGATCTAAGCTCAAATCTGATTGGTCGG